ACTTGTACTCATGCTTAATTCATATCTTTTGAGTACATCATGTTGGCTTGGTTCATATAAACTTGCCTAATTCTCTTGTTCTTATTGACAAAAGCTTATATGATCCAAGCATGTTAAAAACCTCAACTCTTTCACATACTCGAGGTGGTATTGTCATCAATCACCAAAAAGGGGAAGATTGAAAGCATCTAGGCCCCTAGTTGGGTTTCGATGATTAATGACAATACAAGATTACTATGACTAATGTGTGTTTTGTAGAGGCAATTAAGTTAGGTCATGGTAATGAAGATCGATTGGGCAATCGAGGTGGTCATGCCCCTATGATGGAAATCATTTCGGTTTTCAAAGGATGGACGACAAGGTTAAGGATGGACTAGTTCTAAGTGTCGACTAGAGTTGGAGAGACACTTAGAGTAGTTTAGGACTTTGTTTTTCCTTTGGCCATACTATTAAGAGGGTATGGACGAGTAGCTTGACCTAAGTGAGTCTAGTGAGTTAGGTGTGGTGCACACTTGTTAAAACTAGCACTAGATAGCTCCAAGATAGCCCTTAGATCCAATGGAGCAAACTTCATTCACATATGATCGAGAGTTGGAAGTGAGTGGAGGGTCAAATACTGACCAGACGCTGGCTCCGGTTGGACCAGACGCTGGCTCAGGGTCCGGCCAGTTCATTTGACCAAGGTGTTTGCGTCTGGTTTGACCGGACACTGAGAGGTCAAGTAACCGGACGCTGAGAGGCAGCGTCCGATTGACCCCAGCACAGTTCTAGAGAGGGAAAATCATGACCGGACGCGTCCGGTCAGTGCTGACCGGACGCTACTAGCGTTCAGTCACACTGTAAACACTAGAGTTCAGGGTATACTGACCGGAGCGTCCGGTCAACATGACCGAGCGTCCGGTCACCCCACAGAGGCAGATAACGGTTCGTTTTTCAACCCATGTTATAAATAGAGCCTCCACTCATGTGTGGGGGTACTTTTGCTCATTCCAACAGCTGAGAAATATCTTAGAGAGTGCCAAGAAGAGCAAGGTCCTAGTGAGGTGATTGAGATTTGAGAATCCCAAAGAGAGCCCTTATTAGTGAGATCAAGAGTAACAAAGTGTGCATCCACCCATCTCATTAGCCTTGTCATGGTCAAGTGAGAGTTCGTGCTTGTTACTCTTGGTGATCGCCATCACCTAGATGGCTTGGTAGTGATTGGGAGCTTGGTGATCATCCGGAGAGCTTGTGGATGACCCAACTCAAGTTATGAGCGGTTGTGGGTGATTCACCGCGACGAAGTGTCAAAGAATCAACCTGTAGAGAGCACTTGATCCTTGCGCGGATTAAGGAGGAGCTACACCCTTGCGTGGATGCTCCAACGAGGACTAGTGGGGAGTGGCGACTCTCCGATACTCGACAAAACATCGCCACGTTTCCTCTCCTCTCTTTACATTGTGCATTTACTTTGAGCATTTAATTTGAGCAATTCAATACTTGTTTTTACATTCATAGAATTGTCATGCTAGAGTAGGATTGGAATTTATGTTGTAAGTCTTTTATGTGGTAGAACACTTAGAAACACTTTCTAGGCACAAGGGGTTAATTGGACTAATCGTAGGATTTAATTATTGCAAAGAAATTTAGAATTAGCCCAGTTCACCCCTTCTCTTGGGCATCTTGATCCTTTCACAGTGGAATTTTCTCTCAATATTTAAGAAATTTAAGCTTCATAGGATAAGCAATCATTCTAAAATTCTGATCTCTTTCAGCTTTATACAAATGTTCAGCAATGTCAAGAATATGGTGCAAAATAAGTGGAGCTGTGGGATAATAAACACCAGACAGAACAACAGTAGAATCATAAAAGAGTTCTAGGAACACCATTATCTGTTCAGCAACATACCAATATTGTGCAGTCAACAATTCTGAACCATAATTAGAGTTAAGCCACACAGAAAAGACTTCCTTGTATGGCAGCAAATGTTTAAACATTAAATAGGTGGAATTCCATCTAACATCCATATCAAGCCAAATTTTCTTGGTCTTATACCCTGAGCAATACAGTATTTTTTGAACAATACAATTCTTTGATTAGAGGAATTCAAACAGTTTATTGCAGTTCTGAAATTTTCAGTAAAAGGTTTCAGTCTCTTCAAGCCAAATTTAACAATCAAATTAATGATATGACATGCACAATGCTGATGCACAAGCAAATACTTAACCTTATGAGGATCATCACGTGTAGGTGCAAGATAAGAACCCAAGTAACCAAAGAAGACAGGTTGCAAGGTATCATAAGCCTTAGAATTAGATGAAGCATTGTCTAGAGTGACAGCAAAGATCTTATCAATCAAACCAAACTCCTCAACCACACCAGCTATTTTTTCAGCAATGTTTTCACCAGAATGTGACACCTCAATTAGCCTAGAACCAACAACCTTTTTCTACAACTCCCAATCAGCACTAACATAATGAGCAACAACAGAAATATAGTCCTCCTTAGCATTACCAGACCAAATGTCAGATGTCAAAGAAACAGATGAGCAAGCAAGCAACAATGAATTCATAAGCAAAGAACATTGATCAGCAAACATTTTGCCCATATCTCTAGTAGTGGTCTGCCTAGAAACCTTTTCAAATCTAGGGTTATGAGCACGCTTAATGTAATCCTCCAAGGCATGTGTCTCACCTATGCCTAATGAAAGGTCCAGCCTAGCAATCAACCGACACAACTCAGTACGAGCAACAGCAGGGTCATACACCCAGTTATGCAATCCATCAGCATTCAGAGCAAGCCTAGACTAGACCCTCTTATCATTATCATGTTTTGCCTTACAAGATTTCTGGTGCCGTTTCAAATGACTAGTGCTAGCAGCAGATCTAGCAGAATACCTCTTACCACACATTTTACAGATGGCAGCAACTCTTATATTACCTTCCTTAATCTCAGTGAAATCCTCCCAAACAAGAGATATAAGCTTACCAGTACCACGAGTCGATGAGGTACCATGAGTGTCGGTCAAGGCTGCCACCCCACCGTCGCTGTTGCCGTCGCCGGCATCGAGATCAATCGGATGGGTGCCATCACCTAGATCGATGCCGAACAGCCCGTGGGCATCCTCACCGATGTCGTCGTCGCCCTCGATTTCCAGCTCCTCCTCAGGCTCAGGGTGCTCGCCATCGGCTAGGTGGGAATAGATATCCGCCACCACCGGCATGGTGACCCCAGCCGAGGAAGAGCCGGATGGCCGGCCCCGGCCCTGAGTCCCCTGACCTCCAGCTCCAACACCGTCCCTCAATGGTGGACGTTGGTGGCCTAGCCATGGCGCCTCCAGAGGAGGAAGACGCGGCGTTAGGCACCACCAACCTACGAAGAACAGATGATGAAGCGAGAAGAACAGGGTGAGTCGGTGAGTGTAGTGAAAGATGGATGACACAACATAGATCTAAGGTTAGGGGTTAGGGTTAACCTAACTGCGCCACCGGAGCCAGTCAAAGGGAGAGAAGAGGCAAGGAGGCACCAGAGGGGAAGACAAACAATAGTTAGAACGATGGTGAGCGGCGGAAGGAAGGATGACAGCACGACGAACTCACATGGTACACCGGAGGAGGGGAAGAGGGATAGGAAGGGAAAGGAGGAGGAGATGGTTAGCGAACTCAGTCGAGGTGGGACGAGCGGCGACGAGGTCACCTGGAGCAGTGGCGTGGCTCAAGCTCAAGGCGAAGCGGTGGCGAAGCTCCAAAGGCGGATCGAGAGCGAGCGAGATGAGACGACTCACGGCGCAAGCGGGGGGGGTGGAGTGGCCGAGTGGGATTAGGGTAGGGATCGGGGCGAGCATATATCTCGCCCATGGGAGGCGGCTTGGTGGGGGGTCGCCTGCTGCCCCGCCTCACTAGCCGTTGAGGCACTGCCGCCTCTTTCACCGAGCCATGCTGTCGTGTCGTGTCAGTAGCCTAGGTGGCGGCCCAGCACGCCCCGGTCCTTGGCGGGCCGCGCCCGGCTCGACGGTCACCGGGCCGTTCCATGCTTGGGCCGGGCCACGAGCTCGCGGGCTGCATGGCCAGGTATATCCTTAGGACCTGTTTGACAGAGCCCTCTTCATAAAAAAATAATTTTGATTTCTCTTTGTAAACTGTTTGATAGGATTCTTCTAAGGTGGTGTTTAGTTACCCCTCTTAAATTTTAGTCGCTGTCCTATTGAATGTTTTGACACATGTATGAAATATTAAATATAGACTAATTTGCGAGACGAATCTTTTAAGCCTAATTAGTTCATAATTTGATAATTTGATGCTACAGTAAATATATGCTAATGATGGATTAATTAGGCTTAAAAAAATCGTCTCGTTAAATACTGATAGATTATATAATTTATTTTTTTATTAAGGAACCAAACAGCCCCTACAGTATCTTTACCCCCACACCTCCTAGAACTCTGGTCACCGGATCCTAACACCCGTGACTCTTTCGAAAAAACTGCTATCTGAGCTAGAGCCGAAAGCATGCTCCCCCGCTACAGGCTCCTGGCCCAACCTCCCGTCCTCGCCGGCATCGGTGTCCCCAACCCTCAGCCCCTCACCACTCGGGCCTCGGCAACTCCCACTCACACAGACCGGAGCGTGGCGGCGGGCCGGCGGCGCGGCGCTATCTCCTCCACGGCTCTGCGCGCTGTCTTGACGGCAGCAGCAGCGGGGCGGCGGCTGCGCGGCGTGCGTCCCTGCTGTGAGCTTCATCGCCCCGTGTCAGGCTAGCTTAGTCTGACAGTGGGTCACAACGTCAGCCGCCCAACCCGAAACTCCGACAACCCTCGCGGCTCGCGCGGCCCTCTCCCGCTCTCATGGATCCACCGCAAGAGTCGGCCGCCGCCGGCCGCAAGCGGCGCCGGTGAGGAGGCGTCCGGAATCGCAAAAGGCTTTCCTCGCAGAAAGGGGTTCCTCCAGCGGCTGCGCCCCCAACGCCGGCGTCCCCACCGGTCAAGCGGCGGCGCAAGGACATCGCTGGCCATGCCGCCGCCATGCCGAAGAGAGGCAACACCTCGAGCCTACTAGACAAGGTAATCTATCTTTCCCGGATGACCGGATTGGAGGGAGTGTTCAGTGGTGCGGTAGATGGTTTGGGTTGCAAACCATATCGAATCCCTCGGCCGCTTATTGGGGATAACAAAAATCTATGTATGTGCGACGACAGTGTTAACAAGCGTGCTTTATGTGATGATTAATGTATTAGTGTTTTTATATAGTATATATGGCGGCCAGTTCTGTGAATTTTGCTGGTAGTCCTTTTGCATCTCTGATTATGACAAGCTGCAGAAAAAAAAGCATAGCTAAATGAAGGAAAGCCCCATGCACTGTGCATTGCTGTATCTTAGTGCATTGCTCCAATTTGCACAAAAAAATAACAGTTGGTGTTCATTTGGTTCTACTTGATAAATTTAGCAAACTTTGAATTCTTGATGGCAGGAGTTGTTTTTTTTTTTGAAACAAAGGCAGGAGCTCTGCTGCTCAATTAAGATGAATGAATTTATGTACAAGAAGGTTAGTCAAACGAGATGCCCACGGAGCACCTGATTGGCTAACCACCCCACGCGACGCGGTTGAGCACTAACACGACACACTGCCATGGGTCATCGTTGCCGAGCATGGGAGCGAAGCTACTAGCAGCTCCGACTTCCGATGGCAGGGACGGCAGGAGTAGTTAAGCACTTAAACCTGAGTTGCATCTATATTGCTTCATTATAGAGTTTATCCCTAATTCATACTTTCATTGTTTTTCTATGAATTAACTAATCTATTAATCTGTCTGTTGTTTGGTGACATCTTAGATGCGTGCAAGGTTATCTAGTGGCCATTTCAGAATGTTCAATGAGAAGCTATACACTTCCAGGTTCGCATTCTACACATCACACTTGTTTTTCGTTGATTTTTTTATGTCTTGATGAATGGCTTGAATGCTATACTTTCTGTGATTGCATATAACAATCGTTAGACAATACATACATGGTTGTCTCGTTAGCTCCTATTGGCTACAAATGATGATAATTCATGATAGTGATATTGTGTCTCATTACCTCCTACTTTCTGTGATTTGCTAACGCTAACAATTTCCCCATATGACTTTATATGCTGGTCGCCTTATCATTAGTAAAGCATACTGTACTGAATTTCTAAATGTCTATTAGACCTTGGAATCCATAGGCAGCAGGGCTTCACTTTTTCACGTTTCATTAACATTTTCACATATATATTCTTTATCTTTCTCAGTGGAGAGTATGCGTTTGACTACTTCAAAAATGACCCTAATCTTTTTTATGTGGTATGTTATTATTTTATTCTTTCTTGTTTTAATACTAGTATCTGCTAATACTAAAAGAAAGATTTCATCTTGCCATCACATATTTTTTTCTCAAATATGCAGGAGAGATGTGTATCATTGCATTAAGAAGAAACAAGTATATAACACACTCACACACACACCCCTCAGCTAGGGAAACAATACAATATATGTCTTTGAAAGAATAAACAAACGACCCAGCCAAAACACTAAATGGGCCAACCAATTATCTGGCATCAGCCTCTAAATGGGCTAACCAGTGCCTGAGAGGTGTGCCTCCTCCAAATTCTGTTGAAGAATAAGCTGAATGCTCGGGATAGTCCCATTGAACACACAGTCATTGCGGTGCTTCCACAAAGTCCATGCCCCCAAGGTTAGTAAGGTGTCGAGACCTCCTTTTATGTCCCTGGGCACCAAGGCAACAGTCCTCAACCACCGGCCATAGAACTCCTTGTCTACAGGGATAGGTGAAAAATTCAGCAAACCATAACAACGAATAGGAGTGAGCACACATACCTGGAGAAGACGCAACCTGATAGGATATGGTGGATAGTCTCAGGCTCTTGCTAACACAGAGGATAACGGTCGGGGTGAGGCAAAAACTGATGGGCCAACCTATCGGTTGTCCAGCACCTATGCACAACTAACCAAACGAAGAATTGGCACCTCCTAGGAGCCCAAGTCTTCCAAATAAGTTCCCATGGCTCAAAATAAACCACCCCAATAAAGAGAGCATTATAAGCCGACTTTGCTGAGTATTGGCCAGAGTTTGTAAAGCGCCATCTGTGGTCATTCGGTGTGTTGGGCTGAAGCATTGTTTCTACCTAACAAAAAATTGGGCTTTGTGTGGATGTGTTGTGCATAATTGATCCCCTGAAAAACCTCAAGTGCAGTGCCATTTTGTTAGCTTTTTTCATCATGTATACCAGATTTTTTCTCGAACAATCATGTATACCAGACTCATTGTATTTGTTTTATCCTTTATTTTTTTAATATGATTTGGTTTGCACATTTCATATTTCCATCTCAAAAATTTATGCTGTGATTATTATGCAAAAAAGAATTCATTCAAGCAACTAATTAACATACTTGAATTCACGTTTCTCTCTTAGTATCATACAGGATATCAAGGGCAGATGTCACACTGGCCTGAACAACCAGTGAATGTAATAATCAATTGGTTGAAGAGTCACAGTGCATCATGGACTGTTGCTGATTTTGGCTGTGGTAAGATTAATCTTACTGTCGTGTATCTGGTGCTTCTTGCAACTTTCCTCCCTGTTACATCTTTTTATTTCCCTGGCACAATTATGAGAATACTATTCATATTCCCCAGGCAATGCCGCAGTTGCAAAAAATGTGGAGAACAAGGTTTTCTCCATTGATCTTGTTTCAGATGATCCTTCAGTGATTGCTTGTGATATGGCTCATGTAAGCACTGGCTTACCTTTCTTATGCTTTGCACTGTTAGCTATCTGTCCTTTATGTTGGTTTGCTAAACGTTTTCCTGGTGGTTCTTTGCCATCCTTGTGGTTTTTGCATGATTCTTGGTAATGGTTGAGAACAATATCGCAGGGGTTTGTTGCATGAGCAAGAATAGTCCATATCAGTGTTTCAAAGGCATCGCCTAGGCGTCCAGGCGTACCCAGTAGTTTCTTTGAGGTAATGTGCATCGATTAAGCAAAAACTTGGTTTTATGTATTCTTTAATATGACATAATTGCATCAGTGTCGCATTCACAAACTTATAGGAAATTGAAGTGTCAGATGACCCTAAACCCTTATTCTTCATTGTTCGTCGATGAATATCTTGTAGGTTTTAAAAAAAAGATTGATTCCTAACAACATCCAATATTTCCTCATGATCCTAGCGTTGAATTAATTTTAAGACATACGACTTCTCTATTAGAAAAGACTGTCCAAAGAGATCTCCTATTCTTCCATTATATATTCTGCCTTTTTTCCAGGATGAACCGAGTAGTCAAACTGAATAAAATGGGCACTGAATCTTTGACTAGTGTGCAAATAATTAATAATTAATTGAACTAAACTTCTTCCTTTTTTTTTGGAATCTCTGCAGACTCCATTGGAGCCATCCTCTATAGATGTTGCAATATTTTGTCTTTCTTTGATGGGAATCAACTATCCAAGTTACTTAGAGGAAGCAAATAGGGTTCTCAAGCCAAGGTTTGCTTAACCTTTAGCTGCTGCAACTCTTATTGCAAAGGTCTACTTCTTGGTTTCTTTACTTATAGATTTGTTTATGCAGTGGTTGGCTTGTTATTGCTGAAGTGCGAAGTAGGCTAGACCCGAACAACGGAAGTGCTGATCCTGAAAAGCTTTCTAAAGCCATTATCGAGCTTGGCTTTTCGCTTGTTTCAAAGGTTTGTATGTTTTTTCCCCTGAGTTCTTAATTTGATATATTATTATGAAGTAGTTGTATATACAATAAGTGCCTGCAAGTACTGAAACATGTGGTGCTAACTAGCACTGGTTCTGTATGGATCTGATCAATCTACTTTCCAGTCTCTGGAATTGTATATGTAAGATTGATCATATGGCCCTGTTGTGGATGCCTTCCTGGGCCCACAATATCGGTGATGCAAGAATCACATCGGCAAACATTAGGCATGTTTAGAGCATCTCCAAGAGTCTTTCTTAAACTCACTCCCTAAATCATCATTTGAGAGTCATTTGAATAAAAATCGCTCTCTATATCTTTTCACCCTCCAACAACTTGTCTATATCTTGTCCACACTATAGAGAGCCAGCCCGCTCTCCATCTTTAGCTAGCGAGAAATCCGGAAAAAATGATAGCTATATTTGGAGATCTAATTAAAGAAGCTGTTGGAGGGGTATTTTTCACCAAAATCTTTATTCCTATTAGTTAGGTAGGATATAAAGAGGTTCTTCGAGTTGCTCTTAGAGATAGAGTCGGATTGGAAGTTAAGTTAGCTAATTGTTAGGAGATTAGCTAGCCTTGGTTTATTAGGTTAGAGATAGAGTCGGATTGGAAGTTAAGTTAGCTAATTGTTAGGAGATTAGCTAGCCTTGGTTTATTAGGTTAGTTGAGATTGGTTGTAAAGCTCGAATATGTTTTAATGGCCTAATGGACCAACCGATATATGAAGGGTGGCTGATCAGGAAAATCAAGCAAGAGTTAATTTATTTGACATTATTCTCCAGAGCCTCCTTGAGAGGACAAACACGCTCCGCCTCTTGCTGCAACGTTTCCATCTACTACCTATATATAAGAATCATTCATGGCCTGATAAAAGAGCACCTCAAATGTTTGCCTGTGAATTTCTTCAATTTGTTATTTTGGTTCACTTGCAGAGTTGCAGTTTTTGACTGAAAATTAATATATCTTGCTTGCATGATTCATTCCATTCATTGTTTTCTCCTGTTTTTTTTTTTTTTTTTTTTTTTTTTTTTTTTTTTAACACAAGATTTGTGTGGTGCAGTAAATACCATATGACAGGCACAACTATATTGTATCATCACGGACATTATATACTGTAGAACGAAAATAGCTGGGTTATCTAAATATATGGTGGCGCTATGTGGCCCCAATGTATTGAGTAATATTATATTATGACTCTGAGAGCTTTGCTCGTTGCATCCTTGCAATACACCTGAGAACTGATCGGTTTGTTAACTACTATTTGGAGTTGGTATGCAATGCTGGTTTGTGAAACATTTGCATTGATTTGCAATTGCCTTGTTTTACATGTGAACCTCTGTACTTGACTAGAAGTTTGTTCAGTCCCTTCCATTCTGGCACCTTCATAATTTCTATATACAATTCATTGTTTTATTGATGAAAGATTACACTTCATTTGCTTGATAATAGATGATTCTGATGATGCTTCCTAATTGGCTGTTGGTATCATTTCTGCAGGATGTGAAAAATAAAATGTTCATTCTGTTCTACTTCAGGAAAAAGGTTAGTTTCACTCTTTGCTACCTTAACTACCTAGACCGCTTGTCCTTCATGCTGAATTCAGTGGCTTACCATGCCCCAGCAGGAAAAAAGTAACGGTGGCAAAGAGCATCGATTGGCCCCAGTTGAAGCCGTGCTTGTACAAACGGCGATGAGCCGATTGTCTCGTATCCACTAGTAATACTGTAGTTGTAGTAGAGCACTTTAAAAGTTTCGTCAAACTAGGGAACGATGCATTGTATGGAGGCGGATCATATATAATTCAAGTCTATGTTTCACATGCTGCAAATTTTGTGTATGGTCCAGCGAACGAACATCTGGACCGTTTTCATTTTTCAATCTGGAATTCTGGATCAGCTTGAAAGAAAATGTGCTTCGGATTTTCTAGGATCCAGCCCAAATTTGAACTGAATCCCCAGGATTTGATGTGAACGGCGATCTAGCTTTTCTACTAGGACAAAGTCCACATTACCTAAAAAAAAACTTTTGTGAAAGTCTATTTTTTCTCTTTAAACTTTAAAATTGGGTAAACCACCTTTCTGAATTTTTAAAACCGTTGTTTTACCTCCCGACCGGTTATAAGCGTTTTCAAACGCGTTTTATTTTTCTTTTTATTTATTTTGGCTGAATTTTTAGAAAATCATAGTAAATCATAGAAAAATGATAAAATGAAAAAAATCAATTTTGTTAGTAAATCACAGATAAAATAATATAGTAAGTATAAAAAAAAATCACTTCATTGGTGTTTATTTTTTTTTTGTTTTGAGCTCCTCTACATGAGTCAAGATTTATAAACCGTTGGCAAAAAATAATTTAATATGGTATGTTTTGAAGTATAAGTCACTTTTTTTTCTTTATCCCACTCCAAATTATTATGTTTTTTGCTGTAGCTTTATCCCATTTTGAACTGAAAGCTCGACGTAGAAGCCCTACCAGACGAGACCTAGTATATTTTTTTGCTGTAGCTTTTGAACTGCCGGCTCCGGCTCCCACGACGGCGCCTGGCTCTTCCACGCCTTCCGCGACCCGCGCGGCCACCAGCTCCTCAACGTACGCACCGGCGACGTCCACGACCTCCCCGGCAAGATGCTGATCCCAGACGACCCGCACCACCCCTACCCCCTCCGCGCTCTCGTCGTCACCGGATGGCGCGACCTGCGTCGTCGTCTCCGTCGTCAGAGCCGCCGTGCCACCGCACTATCGCTACCTTGCGATCTAGCAGAAGGGGTGGCGATTTGACATAGAAATCCGGCCACCCGATGGCTTCTTCTTTGCCGAGGACGTGGTTTACCATGATGGAGCCTTCCATTTGCTGCACGGCCAAGGAGACGAGATCAGTGTTTGCACGCCAAAACCGTATCAGGATTACGGATGCAGAGATGGATGGGAGAACCGGCGCTTCTTCCATCCGGAGGACGCAATTATGATCAGCGCGTCCGGGCTCGCTACCTCGTCCTGTCCCGCGGCGAACTGCTCTTGGCGGTCAGGTTGACGCCAAATCCTAATGAGCCGACGTCGAAGTTCAAGGTGTTCCGGGCGACTGAACGGCCGCATCAGATGCCTGAGGCCGACCCCGGCTTCCCCGTTGCTGAGTACCTCCCGGCAGGTCCGCCACGCAGTTCCAGTTTCGCCTGTCGTCGCCGGCCCCGGCGAGCTCCCTCCGCCTCCTTGATCTCCGCCGACCAGCAGCTTCCCCAATCCCCAGCCCCGCACGCCCCCCTTCGCCGGCGCCTTCGTGGCGTTCGGCAGACGGAGCCCCGGGTCCTCGGGTCACCCTCCCGCGCTCACCGTCGTCACGGCGCTACTCGCCTTCCTCTCCTCCGCCGCGGCGGCGGCGGCGTAATCGTCCACCGACGCGATGCACAACAACAACTGGGCCGTGCTCGTGTGCACCTCCCGCTGCTGGTGAGCCCTCTTCATCCTCCTCCTCGTCTGCCCCTGCCTGGCTGGCTGGGGATCCAATCCGGTTCTACCCTAGTACTAGATAGGCATAACTTCGGCAGGTTCGTGTGAGGGACTAGTAGAGCTTCTCAAACTTCAACTAAGAGCTCGTTTGGATCTCTGGAATTTGGTGGAAACAGAATGATATTTGGGCAGTCTGTTTGGCTCTGTTCATATAGAACTAAAACAACAATTTCAATCAATTCAGTGAAGCCCATCAGACCAAGATAGGATTCATGGCTTCAAAAGTGGAAAGTCCAATTCCATTTTATCCCCTGTCATTGGAAGCATCTGACCTGTTCCTTGTAACCATTAGACAACCACGAGTCCACGACAACATTAAAGGAGCACTATTGAGCATGCCTGCTCGGCTGCTCAAAGATGCTGGAAAAGCATTCAAATTCACTCGACCCAAATGGGCCGTATAGTATTGGTTTACTGTTTTCGCTGCAATACCTGATATTTATTACAAAAATCTAGAATGATTTGGCAGTTGTTCTCAACTAGGGTTAATCCAACAATAGATCTGCCATTTTGTTGCAGGTTAAGAATAATCATGCTTCAAAAGTCAAGTGCTTTGAACAACTATGTGAGTTCAGTTGTGACTAACCAACCTAACAAGATCAAAAGTTCTTAAACAGAGTATTGATCTAGATAGATACAGTTTTGCATGTCTTTTCAGTTGTAGGTGACTTAATCGTGTTAGAGATATCTCCATTTCAGATGCTCGTCGTGTTTTCGTAGTCTAATCTAACAGTAGCATTCAGCTAGGGGGATAATGCTTTACATTATTTGTGCATAACTCCTACTAATTATTATTGCTAATGTTGCCAGGTTTAATTATCGACACATGGCGAATACATTGTCCCTGTACAGGTATCGTATTAATTTGGCTTCATGTGGAATCATTAATCCATTCTCTGTTTAGTGTCTACAGCTTATTCCATATTGTTGCCTTTTGTTTCCTTTCAGGACTGTTAAGAGATTAGGAATACCTGATGAGCGAATCAGACCTATGTTGGCGGACGATATGGCCTGTAATCCTAGGAACGGCTATCCTGCCCAAGTTTTCAATAATGAGAACCTTCAGCTAAATCTCTATGGTGACAGTGTTGAGGTGAACCTCTGCAGTCTGTAAATATTGTTGCTGAACCATAACATGTACGTAGTGTCTAAGAACAGTACACAGTGCACCTCACAATGTTCACTTAAATATACTAATAATGCTTGTCTGATCTGAGTGCTATAAAACATTAGCAAATCATAATACTTTGAATTTTTGCTCCTTTTTTACTTATGACAGGTCGATTATCGAGGGTATGAGGTGACAGTTGAAAATTTCTTGAGAGTTTTGACTGGCCGACATGAAAGTGCTGTACTAAGATCGAAGCGTCTCCTTAGTGATGAAGTCATATACTTTTGTACATGACTGGACATGGTGGTGATGAATTTTTGAAGGATACTTCAGAGCGATGACTTAGCAGATGCTGTGAAGCAAATGAAGGAGAAACATAGGTGGTTTATTCTTTGTCAGTTTATTTTATTTTTTCTTCACATTTTACTATACAAGATTCCCATAGGTAAAATCAATGAATTTTCAAGAATCACATGCTTCCTTACCGTCTTCAGTTTGCAATAGTCGGTCCTGACTATCTTTTATCTGTCTTTCAGATTTAAAGAGCTGCTGATAATGGTAGATACCTGCCAAGCTGCTACTCTCTTTTCGCAGGTTTGTTTAAGTGGTAGAAATGCATCTTGGCCCTGTTCGATTCTCTTATAATCCATACTTTTCAGCTTGTTTTTTCAGCCGGAACCGTGTTTTTCTCTCACAATAAATCAGCCGGAACAGTGTTTTGGCTTGTTTTTTTAGCGAAGCGAACGGGGCCGTGTTGGCCTGATTCAGATCTGGAACTACCAGAGGGCAGCTTGGCTCTTGGCCGCTTGATTGAAGGAAAATGCAATAGCCTATTTTACAATGACACTACCTTGCCCTTTATAGGCAAAGGGGACTCACACTTGCTACAATATATTATAACCACTAAAGTGGATGCTGAGCATATTCCTAATACTAGGCTTAAAAGCCAAGGAAAGTAAAAGTACAGAAAAAGTAAGATACAAGTGCTTTAGCACTAGGCTTATCTATCAATCTCCCCCTAAGCCATGTGCCAAACATTGGAGGTGATTTGTTGTAGCCCAATCCTCTCCTTCATCTCCTGAAACTTAGACTTCCCTAGTGACTTGGTGAGAATGTCAGCCAGCTGATCAGTAGTGGCAATGTGGTTGGCCTTGATGCTTCTGTCCTCCAAGCAATCTCTGATGAAGTGGTACTTGATGTGGATGTGCTTACTTCTTTCATGGAAGATAGTGTTCTTGGCCAGAGCTAGAGCAGACTGTAACACCCTAAAATTTGCGTGGTTTTAAAATAGGAGAAAATGATTTAATTATGCATTTTGTGAGGATTTAAATTAGAAAAATAATAACTTTGTTAAAAATAAAATCAAATATAGGACTACATACATGTATGTACATACATGTTGCTGCATATTTTATTTGTGATGCTTGGGTTTGATCAAAATTTGCAAAAGAATATAAATTCGATTTGAATTTGGATTTGAAAATGAAATTGAAAAAAAATAAAGAAATTTTCCTCTCCCCCTCACTCCGAATTCTGGCCCGCTGGCCTATTCCCCGCAGCCCTGTTTCCTGGCTTGGCCTTTTCCATCCCGCAGGCCTCACCTCTCCTGTGGCCCAGCAGGCCGGCCCAGTCGAGCCGCGTCGCCTTTTCCATCCCGCAGGCCTCACCTCTCCCCGCAGGATGCCTGTATGTTGATGTGATTATCGAGTATAGACGGTGAGCAATTCGTGGGTGATCAAGAGTACTACTTTGACGAGCAGGATCAGTAGGAACACTTTGTTCAAGGCAAGTATAGCATGGGATCATCCTTGTTTTCTATCAACTTTAATACATTTAATCCACATTTGCATGTGTCACCTTGATAGGGATTCCCTAGAATTGAACTTATGTCTTGTCTCTTATGGAATGTGCATTGGGTAGCTTTGCTAGTGCTCAACTAAACCATGATCTTGTAACTTGACTAATGGTATATGTAATAAACATTAAAACATGACATATTTAGCAACTTGAAAACAGGGGGCTGGAGTGTTTAGCTACTTTCTAAATGCTTCAGATTCCTCTCCCTAAGGACTTATCTGTAAGTGATCATCCGGGACTTACAGTATAGCTGTGAGGGCCACATGGCTCTGGCTTTAGCTCAGTATGAGGACCTTTTTCTAGCTTGTTAGTGGTTACCTTTATGGCATAAGAATGACTTGACGAATCGGGTATAGGACAGCCTCTACTTTTATGTGTATAACCGTGATGGAATTGTGCCATTCGACAGGAGGTTCCTATGTCTGTTTGCCGAGTGAATCTAATGGTCCTAAATCATTAGACGAACCTTTGAAAGGCTTCATAGTGAACCCTGCCTGCTCACCTTGGAAGTGTTTTGGGAGTAATTAACCCGGGCATATGGGTATCACGACTCACAGTGAAAGTGTACAATCTCTGCAGTGTGTAAAACTGGTATATCAGCCATGCTCACGGTCATGAGCGGCCTTGGAACCCTTATGGAATAGATGATCACTATTAATTATTTGTTTATGCTATTTATTATTCTTGTTTATATTGATCATGTGTTTACTATGGGATTAAAACAACTTGTTGCTACTCTTATGCTAAAATTGTGACAACTAAAAGCTAATGCTGTAAAACCCGTGTCAAGCCTTTGAGCCTCATGAACCCCATGTTACATTTGTTGAGTACGACATGTACTTATGCTTGTTTATTTTTATTATTTGGATAAAAATCCTAGATGGGTAACAGATGGCTATGATAATGACGATTTTCCGAGGATTACTAGACTTGTGGTCAACCAGTTGACGTCCCTGTGATATGGAGCTTCCGCGAGAGATTTTTCTTTATACTTCCGCTACATTTATGTGAAGACTATGTCTTATTATTCGTGATGTAATAAACACTTGTGATGATACTATTTATAATTTATCGACTTATGTGTGTGACTGATCTCTGGGCACACATAAGATTATGCATCCCATTTTATCCTTAAAATCGTGTGACACAGACTTGCTGTCCACCTTCAGCTCAACTACATCCACCTTCCTGCCAAGGAGCTCTGCCAGCATCCTTGACAGCCACAACGCCTGTGTTGTGGCGGTGGTGGTGGCGATGTACTCCGCTTCATAGCTTGAGAGGGCCACCACCTTCTACTTGAGGGGCTGCTAGCTGACCAAGCAATCACCGAGGAAGAACATCGTCCCGGTTGTGCTCTTGTTGGTATCCACATCGCCGACGAGGTCGCTGTCGCTGTAGCCGACGAACCGCACCGTGTCGAGGGCCCTTCCATAGTGAAGACTGTAGTCGAGGGTGCCTATCATGTAGCATGGGATTCGCTTGATAGCCTGCAGATGCTTCATTGTCGGCCGCTCCATGAAGCGACTCATGTACCTGACGGCAAACACGATGTCTGGCTGCTCCATGAACTGGCTCATGTACCCGACGGCAAGCGCAAGCTCCCGATCAGCCACCGGTAATGGGTTGGATCGACCTCCTCCGCTGTGCTCTCTTGACTCAGCTTGAGCTTCTCCTCCATCGGGGTGTGGGCTGGATTACAGCCTGTCATGCCGCCGAGCTCGAGGATGCGCTTAGTGTAGTGGGTCTGGCCGAGGGCGATCCCGGTGGCGTCCTAGCACACTTCGATGCCAAGGTAGAAGCAAAGGAGGCCGAGGTCGCTCATGTCGAATGCCTTCTTCAACTGTGCCTTGAATACCTCCACCTTCTGCTCTTCAGCGCCGATGATGATGAGGTCGTCGATGTAGACACCGACTAGTAGAACGTTGCGTCCGCTACCCTGTCGGTACACCGCTGCCTCATGTGCGCTCTGCTTGAAGCCCATCTTCTTGAGTGTGGCGTCGAGCTTCGCGTTCCAGGCACGCGGCGCCTAGCACAAGCCATAGAGTGCCTTCTACAGGCGGTACACCTTCCCCTCTTCTCTAGCGATGGCGTAGCCAAGTGGTTGGCGTACGTAGACCTCCTCCTTGAGATCACCATTGAGGAAAGCGGACTTCACGTCCATGTGGTGGACTTGCCACCTCTCTTGAGCTGCCAATGCGAGGAGGACACGAACTGACTCCATGCGCGCCATGGGGGCGAAGGCGTCATCGTAGTCGATCCCCTCCTGCTGAACGAAGCCACACGCCACCAATCGTGCCTTGTGCTTGATCACCGTGCCCAGCTCATCCTTCTTGAGCTTAAACACCCACTTCAGGGTGATAGGGCGGTGACCGTCAGGCAGTGGCACTAGCTCCTAGGTGCGGTTCTGCTCGATGGACTTGAGCTCCTGCTCCATCCCGTTCGCCACGCCGGATCACCCTGCGCCTCAACATAAGTGGTCGGCTCACCGGCGTGCGTCAGATGAAGCTGGGCGAGGAGCCTCTCGGGCTGGTCCGGTGAAGGCTGGTTGCCAAGTATGCTTGCCACCGTGCGGTATCGCAAAGGCTCATCATCGTAGTAGGCATCCAGGCGGTCTTCATCGTCCTCCAACGGCGTGGCATACTCGACCTCTGGCTTTCCAGCGTGCGCTAGTGTCACAGCGGGTGAGGTAGAAGACATCGAGGAGGTCGGCTGGTACGCTAGAGAGATTGGCTGCGATGATGTAGAGGTTAGAGAGGTCAGCTGCGGTGCTGGAGAGGTCGAAGCTGCTACCGATGGGCTACCGATCACCGCCGATGGGCTGCCGAGCTCCCCCGGATTTGGTGATGGCGGACGAGGCGGAGCTAGTGAAGAGGTCGGTGCTAGTGATGAAGACCCATACGTCGATGGAGATGCACCTTGTGCTTCCTCAGCACCTCCATCCCACGCGTACTTGATGGTGAAGTGGCGAAGCGTGGTCGCCGACCCGTCATTCACCGCCTTGTCCCATGCCCAGCCGCGTCCCTTCAAACACAACGTCGCGCGCCACACGCACTCGCCGTGTTGACGGGTCAAGCACACGGTAGGCCTTAGCCTCTTTTGCGTAGCCGATGAAGACCCCCGGCGAGCTGCGATCGTCGAGCTTGCTGACGTGGTTCATCTCCTTGACGAAGGCGAGGCAGCCGAAGACGCGCAGGCAATGTTTTTTCTAGGCGGTGACCCATCGCCTAGCGCCTAGGCGTGCCTAGGCGTTTTCTAGGCATTTTCTTGGCGTTTTGACCTTTTTTGTATTTCAGCATATATAACTGAATAAATTATATAAATATAGTAGCCGAGTGAATTTTATAAAAAGAGAAAAGGCCCAATAGACATACCTTAGTTGATACAAAAGTGATGTTCATGCTTAGTTCATAGTTGATAGTTGATACAATACAAATGTG